TCAAATTTCTCTTCAAATCAGGTACATACCTTAATTCAGTCAACAACCTTATTGACTCATCATGGAGCTTGAATCACACAGATCCAACACTTGTAATCTTACAAGCTTTGTTGTTTCCCAGTAACAAAAATACACCATCTTGATTACATAGTTATTCGAACAATATTTGTTTGGAGTCATGTGCCAAGTGCAACCTGAATCCATAATCCGCTCCTTACTTGAGTCGCCTCTTAAAACCACAAGAACATTAGATGATTCGAAATCATCTTAAACAATGGTTATGTTTCCATTATCCTTACCTCTATGATCTTTCAGGCATTCATGGCACACCTTTATTGTATGGCCCTCCTTCTCACAGTGATAACATCGAATACCAGATGCATCACCACTATAAGACTTATGCTAACTTTTACCCTTCTTCTTGTCGAACTTGTCGTCTCTCTTTGTGAATTTTGCCTTAACCGAAAAACCTTCACAAGTCAAAGATAGCTTGTGCTCCATTCGTTCATTCAAATCCTTAGAAAACAAGGATGATTGAACTTCTTCAAAGGTCAGAGACTCTCTTCCATACAAGAGAGTTTCTTTGAAGTGAGCATGTGATCTGGGTAAAGCACACAACAAGAACACTTTATCTTCATCATCGATCTTGACATTGATATTTTCAAAATTAAGAATTAGCTTATTAAACATATCCAACTGCTCAGCCAGGATTTTGTCTTCACTCATCTTGAATGAACACATTGCTTACTTTCAGAAGAGTGGATTAACCAACGATTTGGTCATGTATAAACTTTCAAGTTTCACCCACAAACCCGACGCTGTCGTCTTCTTCTACACCTATCAGAGAACCTTATCACCAAGGCTCAATAAGATGGCATTGTAGGCTTTTTATACCATGGTTGTTTTTTCTTTTTCCGTTAAAGTAACGTTCATGGCTGCAGCTCCCTTCAACGCTTCTAAATAACTCTGCTAAACCATTAGGGCTTTCATCTTCAAGCGCCACCGACTAAAATCGTTCACTCTGATGAACTTTTCAATCTCATATTTTGTTGACGATATCTTCTCCATGCTCACTGCACCAACTTGTTGTGAAAAACAATATCGAGAACAGAGTATAATCGAATTCTTGAATACCAAGAAACCTCGAGGAAGCAAACAGAGACAATAAAAATTGGTTATAAACTTCTATTCTTTACTTTATATCTTTGAAACAAGATTCAAGTGTTGCATAATAACAAATAACCTCTCTCACCCTAATTAGGATTTACAGTGTTGCAATCATGAGAGACTAGTATGCTATTTACAAGAAAACTAACACACTAAACTAATGGCCTTTTACACACATGCCCATTAAAACAAGCTAACTTAGGAAACAATCTAAATTAAGCAATTGAGCTTAACAAACACGCCTAATTCTACATGCTAACAATCCTAGCATTTCGACTACTGCATACTTGAGCATACTTCGACTACAGTATTGCAGAGCTTCAAGTACAACATGTGAACAGACTTCGAGGGCATGCTAAGTTCCTAGAGAATTATCGAACCAAGAAGCTACCCTTTAACCATACTAGAGTTAAATCTAATATCTCATAGAATGGATGTCATTTTGGTCTTTCACACAAGTGTGAAACGCCCACTTTAGCTTTACCATTGTTAATTATTTCATTCACCATCTCTACCTACAAGTCAACACGAGAAGAAATTTCAAACATTATAAAACAAGCTATTGAAACGTAAACAATAATACATAAAAAGATTTTGAAACATAAACTATTGTGAAGAGAACCTATAAGGTAGAAATTTCCTAAGATTTGATGCAACAAAGGTAACCCTTCGAAGTATACGAGTTCGCTACATAAGGTTAGGGTTTCCATATGAGAGAGACAAGTGAAAGAGATGTTAGGGTTTTATTTTGAGAGAGACGAGTGAAAGAGATGTTATGGTTTTCATTTGAGAGAGACGGTTGTTATGTACTAAATTTTTAGATAATTTCACTTATATATAAATATGTAACACCTTTCACCATGGTTGATAATACGAAGCGCGATGAAATCATTTCAACCACGGCTGATTATAAGAACCATGGTGATATACAAGTTGTTAATATAAGCATATGGTTATATAGCACTTTTGTCATTATAAATAGAAAATTGTTGGTGTTGGGATTCAAACCCTTTCACTCCAGATACATTTTACCATGGTTGTTAACTATAACTATAGTGAAATTTCTTTTAGTAAATAAAAAAAAGTGGCCAAAAAGAGTTATTACCACAGTTAACATGAAGATCGTTGTAATATGGTGTTACAAAAGGTCTATTTTATAGTAGTGATAGTTTTCTTTTGGAGGGAAACCTTCTTCAAATATTTTAGGGTTTCAGCATGCATTTCATGAAAAGCATTTGACAATTCATTATAAGAAGGTACATAATGTGAGTCATACTCACTTACCTCTAAATTTTGATTTTATGACATGCCATCGTACATAGATGAGCTATTTCATATTCACTCAATTTGTTAACGAAAGATGAGGAATCTTCGCCTTCTTTCCAAGAAATGTACGCTCTAAGGTCTTTGGAACTTTCTCATTTTGTCATGTAGGACTGCTGCTTACCTTTGTGCTTCACTAGACTTGGACAATCAGTCTTGTAGTGTCCGTGCTTACCATATTCCTAGCATGCACATTACTTTTCTTTCTTCCTTCTTGTTATCTTCCCACTTCTTTGGTGGGTTAATTTTTATAAACTTCACTAAGCTTCTATATGAATGCTTTTGACCATTTCTCTTTATATATTTGTTGTAGTGTTTGATAAACAAACCCATCTCTTCTTTGTTTGAATAGTCTTCACTGGTACTATTTTCATCATCCTCTAACTTGGCCTTAAGTGGAAGATTTCAAGGAGATGTTTCTCTTCTACTATTTAACCTTATTTCTCTTTTTCATATTTTCTTCACTTGCTTAGAGTCTTTTCAACTTGTGTTCATATTTTGTGAGCTTTCCAAAAAGAGTAGACACACCTAGTGTTAAGTTTTGAGACTCTTTAATGGAAGTCACCTTCAGTTCTATCTAATGCCTAACTCCAAGAACTAGCCCACTTAAACTAATTCTTGTTTTTCAATTGGTATAGCCATGAATCTCTTAAGGATGCATGACTAGTTCTCTAAGATTAGGTTCTCCTTAGATAATTTTACCCTTACAATGTGGACTTTCTTGATTGTCTAAGTGATGAACTCCTTATACTAAATTAGATAATTTTATTTGAGTTAAAATTTTTCTCCTATCTATGAAATTGAGATAATTATTTTAGATAACAATGAGACTAACCAGAGATTTTGTTCATTTGTTCATCTGATTAATAAAATTATGATACTGTATTTCTTGAACATTGACATGAATAGTCTCACTCACTAGTCCAATTTTACTTGTTATAAAACTTTCGCCAATTGCAATTATATTTCCCCATAACCTAGGGGTTGCCTCAGACGGAACATGTTACTTGGTGATCAATTCGTTGGGTAACCCTGATTTATAAAAGGTTATAATTAAAACATAATCATTATAGGTTCAGTCAGGGGTTAGCCACAAGTATGGGTAGATGATTCGACGAGTGAAGTTAATTGTCTTGATCATTATGTTAAATAACAATTAGTTCAACTCATCAGTTTAACAATTAGTCAAAACCAAATCAGTTGCGCTATGCGCTCCTTCCACCGTTACAATTACAACTCTTGCGCTAAATCACCTTATTCTTGTATGAGATTGCGACATCTCATTTTTTCTTTCAAATCTAGAGAATACTTCCAACCATTCATATCGTGACATCTCGAGAGTAATTAATTATAATTTCACTCAAAAAATTATTAATTATAATAATACTAAGAGTAAGGGTATGTTTTAGTTAAAAAATTTAAATAATACTAAGAGTAAGGGTATATTTTAGTTAAAATTTTTAAATTTATCTACTATATAAGTTTTGGATATTGTCTAAAAGACCTTGACAAAATAACTTATAATATAGAATGTGTTTGTTTTTTATTTTAACAAATTTAGAGATTTTTTATATAAAAAAAATCGATAACTCGTTTGTTTTAAATTTTTTTTCTTAAAATAATTTATAACAAACACATCCATATTTCATAAATTTTTATAAGTGTATTTTTTATGAGATTTTAAAAATAAGTCTAAAAAATAACTTATTACATATATAGATAGAATTATTTTTATTATTATTTTTTCTTATAAAAACAATTTATCTAAATAAATTATAGACGAACTATAAACATTTTATCCACACATGTCTAAATCTTTTAAATGGTTATAATTTATTTTAGATTGTAGACTTAATATCTTTTTTCTCTTACGTTAATCTCAAAATTTATTTTGTTAGTTTTTTTTTATAAATTTTAAACAACAATAATATATAAAATAAAAAGAAGTACATAAAATTGAAGGGACATAAGACCTAATTCAATAAAACTAAAAACAATAGAAATAATATAAACCAAAGAAAAGTAAAATTTTAGAATAAATCTAACATCAGTGATAAATATATCTGATCAGAAGGGATTGTCAAGATCCACGAGCTTCAAGTCGAATAGATGTTGAATGTGAAGTGGGAGGAGGAAGTACCTGTAAGACACTCCGATGCCAAAGTAAGATTCAGAGTAAGTGCAAGTAAGTGTGAGAGTAAGGGTGAATGAATGAATACATCATCCTCTCAAGTGAGAGCGTATTTATATCCTCTAGCCTAGGCCAAGGTCTCCATTGTTGGGCTGACCAAGCAGGCCCAAAAATGGAGACTGTCAGGTTTTACGTGCGTAGTGGAGGCCAGCACGTGATCCTCAACCTGAATGAACTCTTCTGAATTATCAGGAGGACGTGGATGCGGTCCTTTCGGGGTCAAGAGGACTCCGTAATATTCGGGAGCGTTGAGTGTCTGCCATACGAGGAATGTGCTCGCGAGGACCTCCTGAGTGTCGTTAGTCTTTCTCGTCAGTCATCAGGTTGTCTCCGGAGGACATATCTTGATCGACGAGAGGAGTAGAGGGTGCTTGCGAGGATCTCCTGAGTGTCGTTGGCCCTCCTCGCCAATCATGAGGTTGTTTCTGGAGGGTATATCCTGGTCGACGAGAGGAGTGGAATCACTGCCTGACATTGTCAAGGGCATACTCTCTCCTGTTGATTTTCTCCTACAACATAGTTTGATTGAGCCTTGTATGATGTTTGGGCCAAGTGTAGATCTAGTCCAAAACAATACCTATCAAGCACACAATCTAACGTACCCGCGTACGAGAATGAAACCAAATTGTAAAAAATATGATGAACGGACTAATTAACACTGAATTCAAATTGTAGAAATGGTTAATGAAATTGACCACCAATACGATAATAAAACCATTAGCCAAAAACTTGACGAGCAAGTGAAGAAGCCATTTCTAACCAAACAAACTGAGACACAAGTCTGGGAATGAAGAAGACCCAACACAAATTTGCACGAGACAAATTAATATTGAATCAGTTTAAAAACATAACAACACTTAATACAACACAACCAACCCGTCGGAAGAGTCGATCTGATAGGAGAACAACCACTCGAAGATTGGAATCAGAGAATGAATCTGACTGCTAACACGAAATCAGAACCACAATCCAACAACTTACTCTAAAATTAAAAACAAACAATAATGACCATTTCAAACCTAACAATCCAAAGCCAATCGACTCGAATAAATACCAACCTACTACCGCGACAAAATCTAGAACACGCTGATACATGAAAAGCAAAAACTGCCGTAAAAAAAGATATTTTTAATTAAGGATATTTTTTAATTTTATAAAATAAACATAAGAAACCAAAAAATATTAAACTTTAATTTAATGACTAAATTGATGGTTTATTAGTTAAAGACTTCTTTTTTGTTTTTTGAACACAAGTTAAAGACTTGTTCTAAAAACGAACAAGAAGGAGTAGTAAAAGAAGGGCTTCCAAAAAGAATACAATTAATAGGGTTTACCGATTGCTTCCTTTTGTGAAGTGAATTGTTAACCTGATTGGCACATGATTCGTAGCTTCACCCACTAGTACATGCCAATTTCTGATCCTCCAAGCTTTCTTCTACCCCTCTCCGTGCTGCGCACGAACCCTGCATAACTGCTATCGTGCGCAATTCTCATCGAAAGTTTCCAACGCATTCATCGGCCTAACTACTGGAATACAGTGAGAATTCAGAACTTACAGAAGGAGTATGGCTGATATATTTGCGTGGCTCTTCTCCTTCTTCACCCTTATTGCCTTAATTATTATCATTATTTACCAGGTTATACTCAACTTCAATTGCTCCATTATATAAACTTTTTTTTTTTAATTCAATTGTGATTATGTGTTATATGTTAATCTAAGTTAGGGTTTTGTACGTTCTACCTTGGTTTTCTAATTCTAAATTAGGGTTATTCGCAGTATCTCCAAAATGTGTTTTTGTGATTTGTAGTTTTCTTTAGGACTGTGTAAAGTTGTTTTTGAGTTCTTCATATGCTGACTTTTTTTTATTTGTATTTTTTTACAGTTAATGTGCCTGGCAGATCTCGAGTTTGATTATATAAATCCCTATGATTCCACATCTCGAATAAACAAAGTGCTTTATCCTGAGTATATTTTATTAGGTGTTCTCTTCTTCTTCTACGTTGTAACAGGACATTGGGTAATGGCACTGTTCTGCGCTCCTTACGTCTACTACAACGTCAAATTGTAAGTTTTTTTTACCTAATCTATGAATTGGCTTTGCAAGTTTATTATGATGAAAGATCTAATAGAAAATAGTCATAGTTTGTGATCTGATTTTTGAGTGACGGTTTGAGTGAGAATTTTGGGTCTTTATTGTAGTAGTTAGAGCTGTCAAATGGGCTGGCCCGGCCCTCCAGGCCAAAACATATAAAGGGGCTGAACTGGGTTGGCCCGATTACTTCATGGACTGTAAAAAATGAGCCCGGCCTAATTTCTAATAAGCCCTGTGGCCCGATGGACCATTTGGTCACTTATTTCAATATTACAGTTTTAGATTTATAAAAATGATGTAATGAATAAAAGCTACATAGCATAAATAGAGAGTAATCATAAACTTAGTTAAGTGATATTTAAAATATTCATCAAATCAACATTCATATATTTTTGAATAGCAAGAAAGTATCTATGTAAAAGTAGAGAGGAACTGAATACCATCTCCAATACTTATAAATCTTTCTCTTCATCTCAACCATTTCTTTAATCACATCATCTTAAAAACATATCTTCATCCTCTTTTAACTCTTCTTTTTCATTTGAAACACACATATGCAGTCATATCTAGCTCAATATTTTTTCTCCAAAATTAACTAAATTTATTTTTAATGGGCCAGCCCGGCCAACCCATAAAAAACATAGGCCTGGTGTGCTGGGCAGAAAGGATAGGGTTGTGTTTTTTTAATAGTTTTTTGCGGCCCGGTCCACGATAAAATATAGGGCTCGTGGGTCGGCCCGATGGGCCGAACCCATTTTGATAGCTCTAGTAGTAGTGTACTATTGCAATTTTCCAGTAAAGAGTAACTCGCGAGGATAAAGTAGTTTGATTGCTATAATGTACGTTGGCTTATGCTTCATGGAATTGCTAAGCAGTTTTCTTGCTACCAATGATTGGTAAATGTTTTGTTTCTGAGAAAATTCTTCCAGGAGAAGCATTCATGCGAGTTAAGTAGTTTGGGAGAGGATGAAGAGTTGAATTTAAATACTGGGAATTTGAATATTGGGTCTTTGCTTTGCTATGCATTTTTACTCGAGTGGAGGAGTGTTGAGAGAATCAGACCAAACTGATTTGCCCAATTATCAATAAGTTGCCAAGTCTTTCTCCACTCTGTTGTTTAGTTAAGCTTGGTTTTGTTTTGTTCAGAGCCCTGCATTGGATGGATGAGATATGACCAAATGTGAATTCTACGTTGCTAATCTCAGATAGCGTTGCAGAGCTCCAACCCTCTAAAATGCTACGGCGGATTGCGGGATAGCTGCTATTGCAAAGACTAAAAACTAATGTACAAAGTAAAAATAAATACTCAAAAATTGACTTACAGAAAATTAAAGAGATCATCATAGTTAATAGTTACACATCCTAAAGTATAAAAGTATCGAGTAATAAAACTTGAGTAGAGAAGAAGAATAAAACGTGATTGAACTAAATGTAGGAAGAAGGGAAAAACGTTTAGTTGTGATAAAAAACGTAACATTACTCTTCAAAGGGTTCAAATTGAAATTTATACCCTTAAACAAAAAGACAACAGTTTTAAAAAATGAATTTGAGGAATTTATCCCCAAAATTCTAATAGCGGTTGCGATAGCGGTTTTGGACCGTAATTAGCGGCCTCTACAACCGCTATTGGCAGTGGCCCGTGGGCCGATAGCGTCGCACTGAACTCTACCACTGCTATACTATTCCACTATAGCGCTCTATTGACAACATAGCCTAAGTTTATCGGTGGGAGTGAGAGCAGCCTTCATCTTACAAGCTGTTTTTTGTAATGAGGAATTATATCCCATCTAAATTTTGACATGATATCAAAGTCTATCTAAGATCCATTGAGCCACTTTGCTATCAAGTCACTGCCATCGGGTCGCTCGGGTCACGCTCTAGAGGTCCAATTCTGGGCGTGAGGTGTGTGTGAGTGTATTCAGAATTGCGAGTTGACTCGCTAACTCGCCCGAGTTAATGTTTCAGGAGCAATTCAGAATCGCGAGTTGACTTGCTAACTCGCCCGAGTTAATGTTTCAGGAGCAAGCCGACGTGCTGAATCAGAGGTAAACTCGCATGGTGAAACTCGGTAAAATTGTCCGAGTTGAAATTGGGACTCGTTTTCCATTCTGCAAGGCGACACTTCTGTTTTAAGGGGTTTTTTTAGAAAAAGAAAAACCCTAATTTTCTAAAAATGGGCCTGAAACGCATCGGGTTTCATTAAATACTGATTTATTAATTCATAAAGACACGATCAAAATTTCTCTTTTTCAAGAGAAACGTATTGTTTCATTGAATAACTCAACCATTACAGAATTATTTTAACATAAATTCTCTTTCTTCCATTACTTCTTCCTGGTTAACAAATTATTACATAATTACTTTCTCTTTTCTCTTTCACATTCAAGCTTCTTCTTCCTCTTTCACATTCTTTTGTTGAATTCTCTTTCATTCAACAAGAGTTTGCTGTCGACGATGCTAACTTGCTGCAATGCTTTTCTACATGTAGTAGGATCTTACTATCCGTGCTACGATCTTCGAGTTACAATTTTTGAATCCTCTACCGATTCTGTGTAAACTCTCGAGTTTTTAAACATTGGTGTGTGTATGTTGAGAGTTCCACATTTGACAAGATATAATATGAACATCATTTTATAAGTGGAGACAATCTTTATCTTACATGCCGACTTTGTTAGGTGGCTTTAGATCCAACTCAAATAGGTTTGATTTTTAGGGACAAGACTGTTATGGTCTGTTTGGGAGTTTGGAGGAGAAGGGAGGGAAGGACTTTGAAAAAAGAGAAGGATTGAGTGGAAAGATTTGAAGGATTTTGGTTGGTAGGGTTTGTTTTTGTTCATAACACCAAAAATCCTCTAATGTGGGAGAACTCAAAATTTGTATTGAACGAGGGTTTTGGAGGATTTACATAAATTTTCCAAATATCTTTTATGTTGTTATAGTATCATGAAAATTAAAAATATAGTAATGATAAACACTCTTTTATCATTCTATACAAAATCATTTTTTCAAAAAATATCATATAATTTACTATATATTTTTTGGAAGCCTTCTTTTCCTCTCCCCTCTAAAGTCCAAACAAAACTTAAGTGCTTTTTTAGTACGATAAAGCCACAAGGCCATAATTTGGGTTAATTTTTGTCCGAACCTCAAATTCTTCTCTTGATCTACTATCAATATTTTAGCTGCATCACTCACTTTATGTGAAGATCAAAGCATTATAAATTTGATTTAATTTTGTAGGAAATCAAAATAATGAGTCAATCAGGAGCAGCCGTTCAATTTGAGGGTTTAGTAAAGTCCCATGACATAGTTTGATATATAAAACTAGATGTTTAATTAAGGTTCATTTAATCCAGTTTGAACCTCAACCATTGACATCCTTAGTATTGTAAACCAGCAAAAGCCGTGATAATAATAATATCCATGGTACATGACTGCATGAGATAAAATAAAAAACCAATGCAATAACTGTAATTTTATTTTTGGTTTATACGTTGCAAGTCTGCATTTCTTGATGCTATGAAAAAATGCGGATAAATGCAAGCCGATGCAACTTCAATTGATCATGGATGCTCCCCAAACCTTTGGATGTGTTGTTGGTTCTTAAAGGCAATGTATGCAAAATTGCGAGTTAGATTGCAGGATCGCATGAGTCTACGTTTCAAACCTCATCCTCCGTGCTGCGTATCACGTTGATCATTCTGGAAATTCGATCAATTGGGTCGGATTATTTTTTGGAAAAAATCTTAGTTTGTTTTATATTATTTGGGATCCTGGCTGGGTTCGTAGAAATCAGTCACTCTTATCTGTTTCTCTCGAGTTCTCTTCGCTTATTGCAACGCTGCTGCCTGTGACTCGACCCCCTTCTCCTTCATTTCCTTGTTTCTGACCATTCCTCTTTTCTCTCTACTGCACAGCTTGGTGGCACTTAGGTCTCGTAGCAATTGGGAAATTTTTAGGGTTGTGAGAAATGGGCTGGATTGGCTCTAACGTTTTAATAGTATTTTACCTCATTTGTTTTGATAAACCCTGATTCATCAATTCACCCTCATTTAATTCATCCCGAGGGAAATGTTGGATGTCTGAATTAGTAACTTTGAGCAGAAAAATGACCTATTTTTGTTTATTTTAGATTAAAAAACAATAGGGTAAAGAAAGGTTGTAAATGTTGTAAATGATGAGTTACAGTAAAGCGGTTGGGCCAAATAACATATCTATTAAAATGTGGAAAATTCTTGAAGATAGAGGCATTGAGTGCCTCACTAGACTCTAACGAAATTATGAGGTAAAAAATGTTAGATAAATGGAGAAAAAACACTTTAGTTCCAATCTATAAGAGCAAGAGGGATCTATAAAATTATGCAAATTATAGGAGATTAAACGTATGAGTCATACCATGAAGTTATGGAAAAGAGTGATGTAACATAGATTAAGAAAAGAGATTAAGTTACTGATAATCAATTTGGTTTTATGCATGGAAGGTCGACCATGATTTATCTACTACGGTGTGTGATAGAGTAGTATCAGATGGACCAACAAGATTTACACTTAATTTTCATTAATTTGGAGAAGGCGTAGGATAGAGTCTCTAGAGAGATTTTGTAGAAAGCTCTAGAGAAGAAAGAGGTTAGAATTGTCTATATTCGAGCTATCCAAGATATGTATGATGAGGTATCGACTAGTGTGCGGACAAAGGATGGAGAGACAGAAGTCCCCATCACAATAGGATTGCACCAAAGTTTAACCCTAAGCCCTTACCTATTTTATTTTAATTTTGGATGTATTCACGTTATACATCCAAGAGCTAGCACCAAGATGTATGTTTTTTTACAGATGATATAGTTCTGCGTGGAGAGTTAAAGGAGGATTTAAAAGAGAGGTGGGAGAGTTGGAGGAGTCTTAGAAATGTAAGGCTTTCACCTAAACAGAAGTAAGACAAAGTATATGGAATGTAAGCTTAGCAAAAGGAGAAGCATTTCTAACCTAGAGCTGAAAATTGGAGACCATATCATACCACAAGTCGCTCTAAATATTTTGGATCCGTAATACAATACGATGAAGAAATAAATGGGAATGTAACTATCAAATTCAAATTGGGTGGCTAAAATGAAGAAGAATCTCAGGTGTTTTATGTGACAAGTACTGCTCAAGCTGAAGGTAAAATTTTATCGGACAAAGTTAAGACCTGCAATGTTGTACGAAACATAATGTTGGACGGTTAAGAATCAACACTTGAATAAAGTAAGTGTCGCAGATATGAAGATGTTGTGTTGAATATGTGGCAAGACTAGACAAGATAAGGTTAGAAATGATAATATTAGAGAGTGTTGGAGTAATACCTATAGTAGAAAAGATGATGGAAAATAGTCTTAAGTGGTTTGAGCAGGTAGAGAGAAGACCTGAATATTTTAATGTAAGGAACAGATGGAGAGAAGTCAAATAATTAGAAATAGAGGAAGACCTATAAAAACACTAAGAGAAACTATTAAGAAAAATCTCTAGATTCTAATGAATTGGACAAAGACATGGTTTTGGATAGAACATTATTATGAAATTTGATCCATGTAGACGTAGCCGATCCTACTTAGTGATATAATACTTGGTTGTTGTATACTAATATGGATGGCTATACAATGATAGTCAGATAAAAAATTATAACTTTCTATCATGTTTATAAGGTGTAGTGCTAGTTTTATGTACAATGTATCACAATTGTGTTGTGTACTGTTATTTTAAAATGGCTTAGTAATGGTACCGATGATTGCATTTTTCATTGCTTTGATCAGGTACAGACAAGGAAAGCATCTGACTGATGTTACAGAGATATTCAACACGCTCTCTCGAGAAAAGAAGCAACGGCTTTTCAAACTCTTCTATCTAATTTTTATCCTATTCCTCTCGTTATTTTGGTTTGTGACTTGAAAGAAAGCCTCTTGTTCATCAAAAATAAAAAAAATGCACAATTAACTTACTACTTTTGCATTTGTGTTTTGCCGCAGGTTGATATACACATCATTGGACGACCATGAGGATTAGTTGGTGTTGATTGCTTGTTTTATGGAATGCTTTCTGGAAGTGAGCTGCCCGACATGTTCAAATGAGTAGAGCTAATTACTTCCTATATTATACATCGATTATGGACTAACTTATGCTTTTTTAATCAATTGATAATGCAAACTCCTCAGTACTAACTTCTCTGCCCTACTTGTCGTTGTTCTAGAAATACCCGATGAATGAGTAATGCTAATGTAGTTTGACACTCTAGTTAGTTAACGCAGCTACCAAGGATTATATCTTAGTATTAGGGAGATCAAATGATTAAAAAACTATAAGGCAAGAGCAAAGAGTTGGAACGAGGAATGTGGCTTGAAGGTTATCATTAAAAAAAACCAACTGCATCACTGAATTTTTTTAATGTTAACCTTGAAAATTTGGATAGACTTTACGATGTCCAATCCAAATAATGATTGAATCATGCACAGTTCATAACCTTACCATGTAAAATTCAAATAAAGATTTAGTCATGCATAGTACAAGTCCCCCACTGCATCAAAGATGACTAGATGAGGACGAGGTACAGAAGCTATTCTCAATGTAGACGTGCCTTCATCGTTTTGTTCTGTATAACAGGGAACATACGCCTCTGTCTATCTTGGTTATTAGATATACAATACAAATGCGTGGAGGTTTAGATTTATTTTAAGTAGGGTTCACTCAAGATATGAGAATTCATTTTACATTCCATTTACTACTTTATATCCTGTTTTATTTTGGCATCAAAATAACTTTGAAGTACATCTATTCTTAATTGAAAATAAAAACGTATAAGAAGAAACTTTTTTTCGAAGCACCATATTTGAATCTCATATAGTTGATCCAAGTGATCTCTGTTCCATACATGAATATTAGAGTCCACTATGATGGAGCTTGATAAAATTTAACCCATAATTTTAATATCCCAGTAGTAGGAAGTCACCAGAAGTCGTGCTCTCTTAGAGCACTCACAATCGGAGTCAATTATGAAAAATCGAAGTACAAAAGTTCCGAACGTCCCAACAATAAGACCCACATAAACATGGATGAAATATCTAAGCGTAAGAATTCGCCATCGTCTAGGAAGCAGACCAACATAAATATAATACTAGAAAACACCTTGAACGAAATGAATAGGAGAAAGATATTAATGATTGAGTAGAAATATCTTATATAGGTTGAGCTAACTCATTTACTTAGCAGTCAAACTCAAATATATTATGGATTGTCTACCAAGAAATTTCACATAGCATGTCTAATAGTGAGACAAAAATTCACAAGATTTAAGGTGGTCACCTCGTCATAAAAGAATGACACATCACATTAATTTACCTTTGAAGTCATCCCTAAAAACTAATGAGCATATTAATCATAAATCTATAAGCACCAACATGTTCATAAAATTCTAATCTATATGGAGCATATTCAAACCATCACCTATCTTTAAGTCACTTGTAATAACAAAGTCATAATTAACCATTGTAGTACTTGAACAACTAACCTGTGAAGGATGATGATCACTACAATGTCACTAGCTCAAAGTCAGAAAGTGGTGCATCCTTCGTAAGAACGTTGAGGAAAAACAAGAGAAAGAAGTGTGGATCAACGTGTAGTGTAGGTATAACAGTCGTTTGGTTTTAATGATGATAATTGTCAAGCAAACAGTTACTCAATTAGTCAAACAATTTTTGGATGTTGATAGCCGTATTCTAGAGTTCTCACTGACAATTGTCAAAGGGGAGGGGGAGTTAATTATAATTGTCCAGTTGTTATTGATGATTGCATCTAATTAAGAAGAAGATATCTCGAGTCTAATGAGACATATGATTCAATTTTAAATGAAAGTGTTAATCAATAGTTGAATCAAGCAAAAGAATTTGAACTATTAAGATCTTCGGATCCAGAGAGTGGTCATTTTGCCACTCTCTCAGAAGTTTGGGATGTGGAAATCGTTATTCTCCCTATTATTTTGGAGAACTTAGTTTCCTTATTTGACTAAATTTTCCGTAGTGTTAATGCAGAAAGGACATGTCAATCCCCAAGTTTTATAAATGGGTGAGATACGGTCAGGCTCATGGGTGAGTGTTACGACCAATGAACGAATTATGTGACCAATGAGCGATTAAGAACCCAACTTTGGGCAACATATGATGCTAGATTTGAACTCTCTTGACTATAGAGTTTCTGACTTGTTTTGTCTCCATTTGGGTTACTCTCTCCCAAGAAACAAAGATTTGTTGATTGATTTTAGGAGAAGAGACAAGTTATCATCTTAAGGAGAAAACTCAAATAATCAATCCACGAGTATGAGAAGATAGATCTTTGCATCATCATAAAGGGAATGACTCCAACTTGGATATAAAATCAACAAGCATGCCACTAGATTCCCTAAGTGGAAAAGAATCAACAACATTCAATTAGTACTATGGAGATAGAAGAATCATATCTCAACTATGAAGATGACTCATGTCTAATCTCTTTGAGAAAAGATTTTAAATTAAAAAGTCAAGTGGCAAAAAGATTTGGGGGAGGTTGAATCTCTTTTAGTCTTTTGAAATAAGTTTAATATGCTTTAAGTATATTAAAGCATTTATTAAAGAAATAAAATTTGAAAATGCAATAACATAAAGTCAAGATTTTTTTTATGAAAGAGGTGAAAGTTTGAAATTAGGGTTTTAAGATACAATGGGTAAATACCTAACAAACAAATACAAAGATAATGTACAAAGATAAACACATAAAAGATGAATCTAAGACATACATATGCACATGACTAACAAGTCAACAATATCATTAGTTTTCTTGAATTTGACACAAGTATTAACAAAATGAAGCATAAATAACAACCATCATCACATGAATATTAACATTAAAGCAAAGAACAATGCAAAGCTCCATAGATTAGAGTTTCTCACAATCAAAACATCAATCAAGACCTCAAAACAATAGTAAGGATTAACTAAGCATAGTGAGAATAAACTCTAAAATTTCATGCAAAGCAACAAGACATTCTTAACTCATATTCATTTAATCAATACTTAATCATAGTATAGAAAATAAAATCACAAACAAATAAATACATTAAAGCATTATGGTATTTTAAGAGAGTCAATTAAAAAAATATCCACAAAGATTTTAATAAAGAAACATCAATACTTAAATCAATTAAAGCAAACAAAGTTTTTTATTTATTTTAGCAAACAAAGTTTTTTATTTATTTTAATTAATAACATATTAAACAAATAAAAATAAAATTAAATATAGAAAACAAATAAAAATATTTTTAGTGTTTTTAGATATCAAATTTGATCAAGAGAGAAGGTAAATAATTAAATAAACTAAAACTAAAAATAAATTGAAAAGAAAAATAAATAGAAACAAAAAGATAAGAAAATTAGTGGTAAAAAAAAAGAAATGCAATCAAAGGGTGTTGAACTCAGGTTCTCAAGATTATAGCTCAAAGGATTGGCCACCGAGCCACATGCCATATGGTGTTAACTAACACAACCACAAATAAAAGAGTGAAACAAGTCACTGAATGTTTTGAAAAAAATAAAACAAATCAAAAGGTTTGTGGAAAATGAGATTCGAACCCCAGACCATTCATAAACCCACAAGACCAATGTATTAATCACTGAGGCACAATGTCAATTCATTTTTTCACGCATTCAAATATACAAGTATGAAAGTGAGTTCTAAAAAAATTGAAAAAACACAAACTTCATCTTCTTCCTCATGTTATCATTATTGTAACTTTATATTTTCCAATAATAATGCAACTTTCTTATTTTTGCACCAAATCAAATATGTGAATATAGCATATTGCTTAGAGTTTCATGAGGAATTCAAATATAACATTAGTTTTTATTTATATTAACTCTAACTCACGAATTTTTGATAAAACCAGAAAACCCTTAGTTTTTCAAAATGAAATGAAATTACATACAAGATGAATCAATGCTCACTTTCACGAGGCTTTCATTCCTCATATCATACAAGCATAATGGCCACAAGAATGAACATAAATGGTGCTTAAATGGTAGAGTTTGAAATATGAAAATTTTACCAAACAGAGTGTGTCAGTTGCACCTTCAAACTCACTTCCAGAAATGAAATAAGAGTTTCTTTAGCTTCCTTGCACTTCCAAGAGTGTAATGACACACTTAATTTGCCTTGAAATTGTCTTAAACTTCTCAACCGAGTCAAGTTGCAATGGCTCAAATGTGTGATTCAAGTATGGTGATTTAGTGGTTACAGCTGTAATTTAATGCATACAACAAGCTCTATATGTTATATGGACGGTGTTTCAATACAAAAGTTGCAAGAAACTTGGAGAAATTTGATGTTTCGAAGATATGAACTTCAAGAGTGAAAAATGGAGTTTGAGGAGGAAATTTTTGTGTGTTTGTATCTGAGACGAGGTCCTCTATTTATAGAGAAGTTGAGGAGGCTTAAGAATGAAGAAAAACAAATATTTGAAAGTTATTGTTTGGTTGAGTTTCAAGTTTATAGTTTCATGAGAAATGGTGGTTCCAAGATGAAAAATGGCTTGATTCATGGACAATAGGGATGCTTTTCTAAGTTGTAGGAGGTTGCTTAGAAGTGTAGTGTGATTAGAGAGACAAGGTATGTGCTCAATGCAAGATTTTGGTGATTAAAGTCATCTTTATGTAAATGGATATGGAGCTTTTTACAAAATGCTCTCAAAATGAGATGTGAATTGGACAATGCACTAAACACCTTGTGTAATACACTTAAGGCTTGTGTAAAGAAAACATTATACATATATTTAGAATCAATAGGACATCCAAAGCAAGATCATGTGGGATTTGGTTGGTTTGTTATGAACTTGCACCAAAAATCTGCCTTGTAAAATCTCTTTATCATGGCTACTTCATCTCTTTGAAACTCCTTGCTCAAGTATGATAAATTCATGCTATTGGACCTTTTTAGAAAGATGAGAGCATCCTACACAAATTTCATGTTGAGCACTTGGCTTGAAT